TAGTCCACCCCCTTGCTCAAAGCAGGACCAACCCCAACTAAATCATCCCAGCCAGGCCTTCGTCAACAATCTCCTTTTAAAACAAAAAGCAGGGATGGGGAAGGTGGAAAAAGAAGAAGAAAAAAAGAAAAAATAATGGAAAAGATAGACTAAAAAAACCCCAAAATGGGGAAATGAAAAAAGAGAAAAGAGAGAGAAAGAGCAAAAATGTAAGAAGATAGAAAAGAAAAGAAAAGAAAAGAAAAGAAAAGAAAAGAAAAGAATTGTCTTGCTTCAGGGCTAGATGAGCCTCTGCCCCCTCTCCTGGTCTCACTGAGTGGACCCCACACCAGATGTCAGGTCATGAGCCTTTGCCTCTCTAGTGAGGAATTGTGGGACTCTCCCATGCCCAGAGCGGGTCCCTGGGTGACAGCACTGTGAGTACTAGCCAGGATCGCTCAGCAGGTCCGACTGGACTCGGTAGAGGTGCGTGTCCCCTTGGGGAGCTGTGACCTGCAGTGATAATAGTGATCCAAAACAGCCTGTTTAAAATGAAGTGTTGTTCAATCTTAATAGTAGGAACACAGCACAGCAAGAGACAAGGATTAAAGCCCCTAGGCAGGCTAAGCTTCCCTAAGGAATCCCTCAGCCTCTGGGGGGTCAGGAGGCAATTTTGTCCCATAAAATCAGGCTCTCCTCTAATCAGGAAGTGTCTCTTTTGAAATCACTCTCAGCCTTTTGATCTTGGGGAAGCTGGTCTGGCAGGCCCCCCATGGGCAGGCGGGCGGAGGTAGCATATCACAATTAATTGTCATGATGTTTGCAGAGGAACTCTTATCTGAGCTACTGTCCATCTTCCTGGGTGGTTTCCTGAACACCCAGCTGTTGAATTAACCCAATATGTGCATACAAGAATGCCTTTACAATATTCACATTTCAGACAAACACACGGCTCATACAGTATTCACAGATTGCAGCCTTTAGAGCTCGCTTTATCATTTATTTTATTCAGCAGTAAGGCAAGGAACCTACAGGCCTGGACCCTGTAAGACAAGGGTAGTCAATTATTTTTTGTCAAAGTCCAGATTTCTTGGTCAAGATCCAAACTCTAGAGAAACATTTTTCACACCACAATAACAATCATGATAATAATAAGGAAATAAAAAGATTTCACAGCTTGTTCAAAACCACCTGGCGGTGTGGATTTGGCCCTATTGACTACCCCGGCATAGCATATTATAAAAGTGGCATCCCAGCCTGTGGGCAGGAGAAGAGAGAGCGTAGCCCTTGGGTTGTGCCAGGATGATGGCCACAGGTGATGAGGAAGACAATGGCTGACATTTCAGGCTGTTCTGCAAGGGATGGATGTTCAGGTGGACATTCTGTAGTATCTGTATCTACCTCACTGGGTTAGAGTCTTTGTAACTTGGCTAAATGTGTTAATGAATTATGACAAATACAGATGGGTTTCTAAAGTGTGAGGGTTGCAACTGAACACATTGGGATTCCCAACTCAACAGCAATTTTAATACTACTGGGCCTGATGTTGGGACAAGAACCTGCAGAGTGATCACTGGGAATTCTTAAATAATCAGTATAATTAATATATGAATCATAGATTGGGGTACAAGAGGCATCTCCAAAACCATCAGAAGAATAAGAAAATAAATAACCAATTTATTCCCCCAGTTTTCAAATGAATATTTTCCTGGCCATCACCCTTCTCAGAGCTTCCTTCACCTCCTTATTCCTCAGGCTGTAGATCAAAGGGTTCAGCATTGGGGACACCACTGAGTAGAACAGGGAAAGCAGTTTGTCGGTGTTGAGGGAGTAGCTGGATCTGGGCCTCAGATACGTCACGATGCCGGACCCGAAAAACAAGGTCACCACAATAAGGTGGGAGGAGCAGGTGGAGAAGGCTTTGCTCCTGCCCGCGGCTGATGGAATACTGAGGATCGCTTGGAGGATACGGACATAGGACACCAATATGAGCAGGAAGGGGACCATGATGAAGGTGACAGAGATTGTGTAAATAGCTACTTCGTTCCTGTAGGTGTCCGTGCAGGCCAGCTTCAGCAGCGGGGGCAGGTCGCAGAAGAAGTGGTTGATCCTATTGGGCCCACAGTAGGGCAGTGTGAATATGAAAGTTGTCTGCCCGACTCCCACCAGCACCCCAATGAGCCAGCACATAGCTGAGAGCTGGAGGCAAATACCTATGCTCATCATGGCAGTATAGTGCAGAGGGTGACAGATGGCCACATAACGGTCGTATGCCATGGTGGCCAGCAGGCAGCACTCCGTGATCCCTAAGAAAGAGAAGAAATACATCTGTGTGGCACAACCCAGGAAGGAAATACTCGTGTCTTTGGAGAGGAAGTTCACCAGCATCTTGGGGATGGTGGACGAGGTGTAGCCAATTTCCAGAAAGGACAAATTTCGGAGGAAGTAATACATGGGGGAGCGAAGGGCAGGGTCCATCACTGTGATCGTGATGATGACAATGTTGCCCACCAAGGTGATGAGGTAGAAAACCAGCACCAGAAAAAAAAGGGAAACTCGGAGCCCCAGGATGTTGGACAAAGCCACAAAGAAGAACTGTGTCACGGCTGTGTGGTTCCTGCTAGCCATGCCCTGCAGCAGTTTTCTCTCTGTGGAGACAATAAAATTGTTCATGAACTGGTGAAGTTGGATGAATCGTATACAAAATGTATCATATTGCCTCTATATAAATCCATGGTATGCCCACATCTTGAATACTGCGTGCAGATGTGGTTGCCACATCTCAAAAAAGATATACTGGAACTGGAAAAGGTCAACAAAAATGATTGGGGTATGGAACGGCTTCTGTATGAGGAGAGATTAATAAGACTGGGACTTTTCAGCTTGGAAAAGAGATGACTAAGGGGGGATATGATCAAGGTCTATAAAATCATGACTGGTATTAAGAAAGTAAATAAGGAAGTATTATTTACTCATAACACAAGAACTAGGGGTCACCAAATGAAATTAATAGGCAGCAGGTTTAAAACAAACAAAAGGAAGTATTTCTTCACACAATGCACAGTCAACCTATGGAAATCTTTGTCAGAGGATGTTTTGAAGGCCAGGTCTATAACAGGGTTTAAAAAAGAACTAGATAAATTCATGGAGGATAGGTCCATCAATGGCTATTAGCCAGGATGGGCAGGGATGGTGTCCCTAGCCTCTGTTTGCCAGAAGCTGGGAATGGGTGACAGGATGGATCACTTGATGATTACCTGTTCTAGTAATTTCCTCTGGGGCACCTGGCATAGGCCACTGTCGGAAGACAGGATACTGGGCTAGATGGACCTTTGGTCTGACCCAGTCTGGACACTCTTACATTCTTATATCTATAATCTCTGACACACCAATTTCCAGTGATGCTTCCATTTGTGGATGCCCAGTGTAAGACATCCAGTACTTGATGCTCCAGAGCACTAAAAAGCCACGTTAGAAAGCCAGGCTCTCGGTGTCACAACTCGGACCCCCAAACCCTGAGGCACCTAAAGCAAGCAGCTGGATCTGAGCATGTCAGCCTGGATCTCCCTGTTCTGGAGAACGAGGTGAGGAGTTCTCTGTCTCGCAGAGCGAGCCGGGCTTCATTTCCCATTCCCCAGATTAGAGAGGCTGAGATCCCTGGCTCCACTTTGGGTGTGTCTACACAGCTCTTGGGAGCAGGCGGGAGCGAGTCTCCCAACCCAGGTCAGCAGACTCTGGCCAGTGGCCCCACCTAGGCTTCAAAGCCTGAACTCTGGCCTCGCCCACCACCTCACAGCTATTTTGAGAGCATTAGCATGAGCCCCAGTCTGCCAGCCCGGACTGGCAGGCTGATGCCCGCTCAGCACAAAATGCTGTGTAGACACACTCACTGGGACTGGATCCTGCAAACCTTCGAGTGGTCCTGGCTCAAAGGCTTAGTCCGAAGTTGGAAATGGCTTCGCTTTGCTCCACAGCTCTCGGTTTCACTGCAGACATGCTGGGACACAGACCCAAAGGGAGTGCACAAAAACACTACAGACACTATCCACATTTCTACTGAGCCCCAGCGGTGATCTCGAAAATGACTTATTTAGAGAATGTGTAGAAGCCAGCCAACAATTCTACAGGATTCTCCCTTCCGTTCACTGCTCCAGCACGGCCTTGTGTCGGTCGAACGTGCTTCATTCTCCTCTCAGGTCAGTTTTACACAATTGTAAATCAATTGTCTTCAATAAACATACTCCTAATTGTCGTCTGTTGACATGAGAGGAGAATCAGGCCCTTGGATAGTCAAGTGGTCTGTCTACCTATTTGTCTTTTCATATGCAATATCTGTCCATCAATTCAGCTTCATCGTGCTTCTGTCTATACATTCATATGCAATTATCTATTGATCTATCTGTGCAAGAATTTACACTGGTGCTCCTCACTACAGAAACTGAGCATGTATCTGGTCTCATGCATACTTATTTATCTATACTTTCATATGCAAAAGGTGACCATAAGTTCCATTTTGGCGGGGATAGCTTCTTTTTAAGCCCTGTCGTGGCTGTCCTGACATTTCTGGCAAAAGTGAGCATTTGTCCCATTTGCTCTTGCCAACTTGATCAGTTGGCAAGAGCAAACAGGACACATGTGCACACTGTTGTCAAAAAGTGGGGTGTGGAGGAATGTGCAGGGAGGCGAGGGGCCATGCCAGCCCTGCACAGGGTGGGAGGCAGGGCTCATGGGCAGACAGGACTCGGGTGATCAGTTACGCCAGCCTCGCAAGGGGAGTGGATCTCGGGAGAGCCTAGTGTGCGGAGGGAAGGGAGAGGGGCTTGAGCTAGCCCCACATGGTGTCCTGTTTTCCCTTTGGGAAATATGGTCAGACTACATATGCAATATCCTATCTATCTATCTGACAAGGTGGGCAAGGTAATATTTTTTACAGCAGTGGCTGTCAACCTTTCCAGACTACTGTACCCCTTTCATGAGTCTGGTTTGTCTTGTGTACCCCCACGTTTCACCTCACTTAAAAACTACTTGCTTACAAAATCAGACATAAAAATACAAAAGTGTCACAGTGCACTACTACTGAAAAACTTTCTCATTTTTACCATATAATTATAAAATAAATCAACTGGAATATAGTGTACTTACATTTCAGTGTATAGTGTATAGAGCAGTATAAACAAGTCATTGTCTGTATGAAATTTTAGTATGTACTGAATTCACTAGTGCTTTTTATGTAGCCTGTTGTAAAAGTAGGCAAATATCTAGATGAGTTAATGTACTCCTGGGAAGACCTCTGCTTACCCCCATGGGTACATGTACCCTGGTTGAGAACCACTGTTTTACTGGACCAACTTCTGTTGGTAAGAGATGGAACAGATTGTTCAGCATAAGTAGCTAACACGTATTTCAAGGGACAATTCAAGGTGAAGTGGCCCATTAACACCCCTCCAGTCATTTGCCTATGTGAGGTCATTCTAGAGTGTAGGGACTGTCTGGTTTCACTCACATAGTTGCTATTGGGCATTTAGTGATTTAATGAACTCACTCAGGAAAATGATAGAAGACAAAGGCCATGTCTACACTAGTAATTTGTTCCACCTTGTATTTAGCTGGGATACACTGAGAATGTTTCCCAGACCTGAAGGAGAGCTCAAAAGCTTGTCTCTCTCTTGCCAACAGAAGATGGTCCAATAAAAGATATCACCTCACCCACCTTGTCTCGCTAATATCCTAGGACCGGCATGGCTACAATGACACTATATCCATCCATCATAGATCTATCCCCATACACCCCCTCTATCTATCTATCTATCTATCTATCTATCTATCTATCTATCTATCTATCTATCTATCTATCTATCTATTTTCATAGAGCACGCATTAAAACTGTACTTAGCAGCCCAGATCCTGATTACATTACTATGCTAAGTTCAGTGGGAGATGGTTGTGTAATTCCCTTAGGTTCCTTTAGAAATTCCAGCTATGAACTAGAATTCTTTGTACTATTCCTTAGTATAACAAAACAGTCAGAGGAGAGGAAGAGCACACCAGTGGCTGTCTCCCTGCTCCCTTGTACCATGTGTAGTCATTTATACCAATGCAAGGTGAGTACAAAATGACTCCGTATCAGAATTACCCACTTGTACCGGCAGGGTCCCACACCCAGTCAGCACTCACATGTAAATGACTACACAAAGGTACAAAGCAGAGGAGAAAAAGGACCAAGGTAGAGCTATGCACCAATGTGCTTGGTTAAAAAGCAATAACATGCAGAAAAAACATTGACTTTAAAAAATATTCTAATCTCATATAATCATGTGCTGTAAAACTTACAGGCAGCAGAGCGAACAGTGCATTCCCCAACGCTGAAGAGGCCACATCTCGAGGAGTCTGAGTATTTAAGTTCTTTTATGTCTCTATTGAGACAGGTTCCCTCGTGCATTGAATCCTTGCTACATCAAAGATTCAGAGATGAGACAAGGACTTTTATTTTTTCTTTGGCATGGACAATAGAGGGTCCATGTTTCCAGGGACAGCTGTTTTGAACAAAGGCTGGTGGAAAATTTTTAATCAAAACTTTTTCCACTAGAAAATTGGATTTTCAGTGAAGTGAATGCGTCAATTCATAGATT